AGGTTGTTTCTACCTTTGGCCATTGCGAATAATGCTGTTATGAACATTGGGATATAAATATCTGTTGAAATCCCTGCTTTCAGTTCTGTTTAGTATATACTCAGCAGTGGAATTGCTGGATCATATGCTAATGCTATATTTAATTTTTGGGGAGCTATACTGTTTTCTACAGCAAGCAGCTGCTCCAGTTTATATTGCCATTAGCAAAGCACGAGGTTTCAAATTTCTCCACAGTCTCTCCAACACTTGTTTGCTGGCTTTGTGTTTGTTTCTTAGGAGTATAAAGTGCTATTTTATATTTTGTTTTGCATTACCCTAACAATTAGTGATATTGAGCATCCTTTCATGTGCTTATTTGGCCATCTTTATGTATTTCTTTGGAGAAATGTCTGTTCAAGTCCTTTGTCCATTTTTTAAAGATTTGTTGTTTTTTTGTTTTTGTTTTTTGCCTGAGGGTTATTTACCTAAGAAGAATTCTATGTTCTTATTTTCTTCTCTTTTTAGAAAAAAAAAAATCTTCTCTATTAAAAACAAAACAAAAACAAACAAAAAACAGAAAAAAGAAATTCATGTTTATTTAATTAATTTATTTATTTTTTGAGACGGAGTTTCGCTCTTGTTGCCCAGGCTGGAGTGCAGTGGTGCAATCTTGGCTCACCACAACCTCTGCCTCCCAGGTTCAAGCGATTCTCCTGCCTCAGCCTCGCAAGTAGGTGGGATTACAGGCATGCGCCACCATGCCTGGATTAATATATAATATATATAATCATATACAATTATAATCATTTGTATATAAATTATATATATAATTTATATAATATATTTATTTATATTATTATACTTTTTTGAGATGGCGATCACACTCTGACCTTCCCCACGCGGCTGGAGTGCAGTTGGTGTGATCTCGGCTCACTGCACACTCCGTCTCCGGGTCCAAGGCAACCTTTCTCTACCTCACCCCTTCCAAGTAGCTGGGATTATAGATACCCATCACTCACGCTTCAGTTAGTTTTTCTGCATTTTTCTGGTAGGATGAGGTTTCACCCACATTGGCCAGCGCTGCTCTCGGACTCCCATTCTCAGGTTGATCCACCCGCTTTGGCCTCCACACCAGTGTGGATTACACTGGCTCGAGCCACACTGCCTCCCGCCCCAGAAATTCACAGCGTTTCATAAACGATTCTCACCTATCATCACCCAATGTAATAAAATCCTCAGATCTTGGATATCGTGTTTCTTCTTCTTCATTTGACTACTCAGAATTACCATTAACTGTTTAAACAGTCCAAGTGGCCAATTATAACCTCTTCTTTTCTACTGTGCAGTTCTTCCAACTCCTGGCTCTTTTCTGAACGAAGTTCTTGCTTATTCTGTATCTAGGCATCTAGTAAGTCCAGATCCCCTTCTCTTACCCCTATTTAGATACTTTGAGTCGAGTCCTGCTGTTCCTTTACGCTCCATTAGGTATCTGATATAGCTTACCACATACTTACCTGAGGTAGCAAAAATACACCTGGTGGCCATCACAAGCAGATCCTATCTGGTCAGGCCACACTCCTTACTGAGAATTTAGATGTACTAATGAAGAGAGCAAAGAATCACGCTGGAGTCATCACATTGGAAGCCATCCAAAGCAAACTCTTAATCTGAGGAATTTAAGAAGCATTACTTCCCTGTTATCTAAAGCCAGCATCTGGTTACCAGGTGCTTTCCCAGAATGTATACAGTACTAGAATTTCTAATATATCACTCCTGAATGCCATGCCATATCGAAACTCATCTTGCGTGCGCGCCTTCTGCGGACATCAAGGCACCAACCGATGTTCTACAAATGTAATCAACTCTATCATCGACCTGCAAAAACTATAGT